TGTTTTTCTTTTTATCTGGTTGTTTTCTATCAATTACTTTGACTGCAAAAGCCTCAACTGAAGGACATTAAATCAGGGCATATAGAACCAGAAACAATCTTAAGATTACTGACTTCCTGAATCTACACGGACTTCTCTTCAAAATAGAGTCAAAATACAACTTGTCTACTTGACTATTTCCAGTCTTAAAAAAACACTACTCGAGAATTATAACTATTCCAAGACTTTTGGAATACAGTTTTCATGATAGGTTTGAGGTTATTTTTTTTTTACACTTTTATGGAGGTATAAATTACACGTCATAAAATTAACTAATTGTAAGTGAAGAGTTGGATTTTTTAGTATACTTACATAGTTGTGCAGTCATCACTTTACTGTAGATTTATAACACAGCCATCACTTCCAAGAGTCCCATTGTGTCCATTTTCAAACAATCCCTGCTCCCACTCTCAGCCCCAGGCAACCACACATCTGCTTTCTGTGTGTAGAGGGTTGCCTTTTCTAGAAATTTCATATAAAAGGAGTCATATATGATGTATCCATTTGTGTCTGATTTTTATTTTTTATTTAGTGTAATTTGGAGATGCAGTGCCATCTATGTTGCATGTATCAGTAGTTTGTTACTTTTATCGTTGAATAGCATTCCATTGTATAGATACACAATGTTCTGTTTACTCACTACTTGTGGATGTTTGTATTTTTTTCCAATTTCTGGCGATGATGAATGACACTGTTATGAACATTTATGAAGAAGTGTTTGTGTGGACACATGTCTTGATTTCTCCCAAGTAGATATCTAGGAGTTTAATTGCTGGATTATGCTTTAACTTTATATTTAACTTTTTAAGAAGCTGACAAACTGTTTACAAAAGTGACTGTACATTTTACATCCATATCAAAAATGAATGAGGGCTTCAATTTACCACATTTCAGCAAACAATCAGTATTGTCACATTTATTATTATTATTATTATGGCTAGTCTTACCTGTATATAGTGATATCTCATTGAAATTTAATGAATAAAAATTGTAAGCACCTTTTTATGTGTGCATTAGCTATTTACCTTCTTTGTTGAATGTCCATTTAAATATTTTGCCCATTTTTAATTTGATTGTATTATTTAGCCAAGCACAAATTCTTTATTGGATATATGATTTGTAAATGTTTTTTCCAGTCTGTGACTTTTCTGTTTACTTTCTTAATGGTGTTTTTTGAAGCACAAATGCTTTAAATTTTGATGTAGTATAATTCATCAATCTTTTATGAATTGTTCTTTTGGTGTACTATCTAAGAAACTTCTACATAGCCCAAGGTTGCAGAGGTCTTCTCCTATGTTTTTTTAAGAAGTTTTATAGTTTTGTCTTTTATATGTAAACCTTTGATACATTTCAGTAAATTTTTGTGTATACTGTGAGATAGGTTCCAATTTCATTTCTTTGTATATTGTAGCTACCTAATTTTTACAGTGTCATTTGTTGAAAAGACTATCATTTCCCCCACTTAGTTGCCTTGGTACCTTTGTTAGCAATCAATGAACCATGAATGTGAGAATGTATTTCTGGGCTTACTAGTTGGTTACATTAATCAGTACTTTGCATATCTCCCTCCATACTGAGCCTATCTCTGTGGAAGCAAAGTTGTTGGATTTTCTGGCTGTCCTTGTGCTGATAAAACTGCAATTCTCACCAACTGCAATGAGGAGAGAGGTGGAGTTTTCTCCATACATGAAGGCCTCATACTTTTATTGTTCTTGCACAAAGCTGGGGTATCTTTTCAAGAACAAATGCTTAGTTAGTGGGTACAAGGTAAGTTATTTGGGTGATGGATACCCTAAAAGTCCTGACCTGACCACTACCCAATCCATTCATATAACAAAATTGCAAATATACCCCATAATTTTGAACAAATCAAAAGAAAAAAGGGCCCTGAAATGATTATTTTGACAACTTCATCTAGTTTCATAGATGTTTGTGGAAAGGGTTTTCTGACTTCTTCACATAGCTGTGGCTGAAACTTCCTTTTCATGACTAATTTTTAAGGGGAAGAATATGCTGTTGAGCCTCATCTCAGCACACCTACCCACAGAAGTTGCTTGAAATTATATTTAAAGTAATTTTTGGAACACCTGGGTCCATATGGCAGATTAAATCTACATGTTTATTCTCTGCTCCTTCCACGATGTCACCAAAATAGCAGTAATAAAACTTTAAAAAACCCAAAATGACCGTAAGGAAACAAGAGAAGCAACCAAAAAGTGTTTTGGAAGCTAACAAAAGTATTAGACAATGGTCACTGTCTTAACAGAACAGAGAAATGTGAAAACTATCACTGGAAACAACAGAAAGATGTAAGTTGATAACACACCAGAAATTCAGAGGTCTCAGGAACTGAAGATACCATATACTATGTGTTTTGAATGGTGGCAAAATGAGGCTGAAAAGGAATATTGGGAAAGCCTTTAAAATGAACATTTATGGCTATTGATTTCCAAACCTACTATGTGCTGCTAGAGAACTACACCTGGTATATCTGAGTACAAGACTGAGATTTTAACCCATGGACACCTAGGGAGATCAGCCATAGCTGAGGTGATAGTGAGCTACAGAAGATTAAGAGAAAGTAAGAACACTGAGATACTTAAATCCCTTTCTTAATCAGAATGCTACTAGTAATATACACATCCCCTTAAACAAGGGATTGGAGTATGCTAAATAAATCTTACAGTTCAAAAAACAGAGATGCAGGTAATGAGAATGAGAGGCTCCCACAAATTAGGCAAGTCATTACCTCTTTGCCCTATAATACAGTAGATATTGTCATTAGTCAACTAACTCCACTTGCATATACAGAGCTTCCAAGTATCAGTTTAGTGGCTCCTAACTATGAATGGATCAGTATAGGATATCCAGACATTTTATTAAAGTCAGTGACAAGAAATATATAAATTAAATCAAACAGAAGTACAAGGAATTTAGACTAAATAGTGACAATCCAAGAAACAAAAGAGATTCTTAAAAAAACTGCGATGGGTAGATTTAGAGAGCTAATAAAATAAAAATAAGACAAAAGCTATAAAGGAAGAAAAATTAGACTGAGATATAATAGGTGCTCAATAAATATTCATTGAATGAATTGAATTTTTGTAACTATAAAGGATGTGCGTATTTATAAATAATTTATAATGGTTCAGTGCAAAACACACATTCAACAAAAGAATTGAAAGACATGAGTGGATAAATACACTAGAAATTAGAAGATTAATCCAAAAGATCCAATATAACATTGAGAAATGGTCTTGAGAGACAGGGATGGGGACAGAGAGGTGGAGGTAACGAAATTATAAGGAGCCAACACAAGAAAATTTATAATACTGATGGACAATTATTTCCAGACTTAAAGGATCTACAGTTAGCCAATACAGTAAATGCAAAAAGGTCCACTTTAAGGCCATATCATTGAAATTTCAGAATAGCTGGTATTTTAAAACACTCAGAAAACTTCTAAAGAGAGAAAAAACATATTCTGTAGAAACTGTAGAAAATATGAAAAACATCAAATTTCTCAGCAGCAACACTAAAAGCTAAAAGAAAATAGAATAGTATCTTTACACCTCAGGGTAAAAATTATTTTCATACTGGGATCCTATATCCGGCCAAAATATCATATAATTTGAAGGTACAATTACTATATTTTTAGACTTGCAATGTCTCAAAAATTTATCTGAAGTCCACTCCTTTTCAGGAAACTACTAGAAGACATACTATATTAAAATTAAGGATGAAACCAAGAAAAAAAAAGATGCAGATGTCAGAAAAGGAGTTGTATAATAATGATATCAATTCCTAGACAATAGCAAAGATGAGTCTCAGGACAACAGCTTGCCGACAAGCCTTCCAATCTTAATGGAGCAATAAGTTTGAGGGCTTCCCAAAGAAATTTCTAAGAAAAGTAATGGAACCTAATAGACGACTTTACATTTCTACAAAACTGACAAATCTCAAATAATTGGTAGTTACAATGGGTTTGGTACATAGAAAGCTATGCAAAAAAAAAAAAAAAGCAATTATTAAACCTAGGGAGAAACAAAATTAGTATATGAAATACAATGTAATCATAATGTGCTGTGTACCTCTGCTGTGAATAATTGTTACAGGCCCATTATATTATAAACATTATTGGATTAAAATTGTAACATTAAGTTACTAGGATTAAAAGAGGGAAAATGTGTGTGGAAGATGTAGACCTAGGAACGAGAGAAACATCTCCATCTTCCATATTGAGAAGTCAATGAGAAAAAAATAAAAAGCAGAGTATCAGTTTAAGTTTGTTACTTAAAAAAACAAAGGAGATAAGAAGCACTAAAATAATTATTTTACTAATAATTAAATACTCCTATAGGTATTCTTATAGGAGTAAGACTCAAGAGTGGAGAGCAAACAGTGGGAGGCCTTCTGATTTTGTCTCATAAACCTGTTAAAAGCATTTGACATTTTTTTAAAAAATCAGCTTTCCCAGGTTGAATATTTGATTTTTTTAAAATTTTTATTATTTTTTTTAGGATGGAGTCTCACTCTGTTGCTCAGGCTACAATGCAGTGGTGTGATCTCGGCTCACTGCAACCTCCATCTCCCGGGTTCAAGTGATTCTCCTACCTCAACCTCCCGAATAGCTGGTACCACAGGCATGCGTCACCACGCCTGGCTAATTTTTATATTTTTAGTAGAGATGGGGTTTCAATATGTTGGCCAGGCTAGTCTTGAACTCTTAACCTCAAGCACTCTACCCACTTCAGCCTCCCAAAGTGCTGGGATTACAGACATGAGCCACCATGCCTAGCCTTGATTTTTTAAATGTGGTTTTATAATATGAAATTTGAAATGTAAAAAAGAAATTATTATGTGTTTGCATGTTACTTTCTAAATGCTTTATTTTAAAAGTCACTCTACTAAGTTTCATCTTTTACAAACTGTATAAAGTTAAATTAACTCACAAGAGAGAATTTTAATCCACTAAGTACTTACGTGAATGGACAAAGCTGAAACGAAGTCCAAAGTTGAGTTACATCAATTTGTCAAGAAACCACTTCTGGAGATGAGGTTGTCCTTGTGTTGCTATCCTGTTTTAACTAGTAAAATACTTCTGCCTTAGGATATGCTTTTTTCATATCCTGGAATTTATTTTCCTTCCAGGAAAATATCATGAAGCTGGATGCATGATCATTAAAATGCACAAGAACAGATGTTGCTGGGTGTCTGTCAAGCACTGAGTAAACGTTCTGATGTGTCATTTTTTCTAGTTACTGTGGATGAATAGCACAAAAATGGAGTGTTAGTTTGGGGCTGCCATAACAAGTTACCCCAAACTTAGTGCCCTAATACAGCAGAACTTTATTATCTCATACTTCTCAAGGCCACAAGTACAAAATCAAGGTGTAGGTAGTAGAGAACTCTACTCTGCAGGCTGTAGGGGAGAAGCACTCCTTGGCTCTGACAGTTTATGGTGGCTGCAAGCCCATTCTTTAGTTTGTTGTTGTGTAACTCTCATTTCTGCCTTGGTCTGCACATGGCCTTCTCCTTTCGTCTCTGTCTCCCTCCTTTGGGTGTCTCTTCTAAGGACCCTAGTCACTGGATTTAGGATCCACCCAGATAATCTAGGATGATCTCATCTTGAGACTCTTAGCTTAATTAGGTTTGCAAAGACCCTCTTGTCACATAAGGTCACATTCACAGGTTCCTGGGTTAGATGTGGATATATATATATTTTTAAGGCCATAATTCAATTCTCTCTCACACACACACGCAAAGAGTAGAGGAATAACGGGGCAAATATCACTTGTTATTTACTTTAATGACAGGTCATATTTGGACAAACACAAAGCTAAGCGTGGAATTCCAATATCCTGGGAATTGAAAGATGAAAGCAGGCAGAAAAAGTAGAACTATGAAGACAGTTTTATAAACTAGCCACTAATTCTTTTCTTTTTAGATTTACCATTAACCTCTTCCACTTTTATGCCATCTGTAAACTTGACTGGCTTGTTGTCTGTTTTAAAACGACATTTTAAGGCAAAAACAGTGTTGGCTTGTTGTTCTCAGCGACTTCATTTTCTGAATAAACAAGGCTGAACCCTTTTAAATGTCAGTAGAAATCTTTCTGAGAAGCACTATTTTTTTGCACACTAAAGACGATATACTTAACATCATCCAACCACTTTCTTTTGTGTATTCAATTGTCTTTCCCATTTTAAAATTAAGTAATGTTTTATATAAAATATGTGAATTCTCTGTAGCAATTTAAATTTTGATGTAGTATTTTCTACATTATATAGGAATATATTTTTATGCTTTATTGAGTAAAAAAAAAAAAAGGGGGGGAGGGGGACAGAATATGCCAAGAAAATTTTTTATGGACTATTATTTGTTTGAAATGGTGACCAGTTAATTTCTATACATAAATGCAATGATTCTGTTCTCATTGTATGCCAGGAAATGTTTGAAAATAAACAAATAGTGAAATAGACTTAGGGTAGTCTAAACAATTTAAAGAGTACCAATTTTCTTAGAATCATAGAATTTAGAAAGAATGTTAAATATGAAGTCCAAACTCACTTTATATGCCTCGTGGCAATTGGCATTACATGATTTGCTCTATGTCACATATCTGGCTATGACAGATGTAAAATTTTAGGTTCCTAACATCATTCTATTCTCACGATTTTTCTATTGCTGTTAACCTGACAAATGCATCCACTTGAGACGTTTTAAGTGTTTGTGGAAAATTAATGCATCCTCAATGCTTGAGAATGTTCATCTTTATGGAAACCAAATAGTATTTTAAAAGCAGGATTTTGGGAAATAAATTTGTATTTGAGTTTTTGTTTGTTTGTTTGTCTGTTTGGTCACTTTTTCAATGGATGACCTCATTCAAACTGCTTAATTTTTTTGAGCCTCAGCTGCTTTGTTTGCAAAATGAAAGGACTACTATATAATCCACAGGACTATTTTGAGACTAAACAAACTCAAGTTGAGACTAGCTCTCAGCCTGCATATAATGACTATTCAATCAGTGCCAGTTTCCTTCCCTGTACTGCTTATAAAAAAGTCAGTCAGTTACACTATAAACCTGTTGTGATGTATTCAGTTGTCTCCCTCCCACCTCAAAATTCGTGTGTTGAAGTTCTGATCCCCATTACCTCAGAGCAAATTTCTGCTGTTTAAGTCAGGGGTCCCCAATCCCCAGGCCACAGACTGGTATCAGTTTGGGGCCTGTTAGGAACAGGGCTATACAGCAGGAGGTGAGTGGCGGGTGAGCCTGCCAAGTTTCATGTCTATTTACAGCTGCCCCTCATCGGTCACATTACTGCCTGAGTTCCACCTCCTCTCAGATCAGCAGTGGCATTAGGTTCTCATAGGAGCGCAAACCCTATTGTGAATTGTGCAAGTGGGGATTTAGGTTGCCTGATATTTAGGAGAATCTAATGCCTGATGTCTCCTATCACTGTCTCCTATCATCCCCAGATGGGAGCGTCTAGTTGCAGTAAAACAAGTTCAGGGCTCCCACTGATTCTATGTTATAGTGAGTTGTATAATTATTTCATTATATAATACAATGTAAATAATAAAAATAAAATGTACAATCAATGTAATGTGCTTGAGGCCAGGCACAGTGGCTCACACCTGTAATCCCAGCACTTACAGAGGCCAAGGCGGGCAAATCACTTGAGGTCAAGAGTTGGAGACCAGCCTGGCTAACATGGTGAAACCCCGACTATGCTAAAAATACAAAAAATTAGCCAGGTGCAGTGGTGCATACCTGTAATCTCAGCTACTTGGGAGGCTGAGGCATGAGAATTGCTTGAACCCTGGAGGCAGAGGTTACAGTGAGCCGAGCTCATGCAACTGTACTCCAGCCTGGGTGACAGCGGGACTCTGTCTCAAAAAAAAAAAAAAAAAAAAAATGTACCTGAATCATCCTGAAACTATTTCCCCATCTTTCCCATAGAAAAATGGTCTTCCACCAAACTGGTCCCTGGTGTCAAAAGGGTTGGCACTGGTTTTAGCCAACTGGCCACTGGTGTAAGTCACTCAGTTTGTGGTGCTTTGTTATGGCAGCCCTAGGAAACGAATGCACCTGTATTTCTTGGATTGATGGTTACTTATAATGACATTTCTTAGGGATAGTTTTGCAGCAGTCAGTCTGTATCAGGATCTGTAAGGTCCTTCTTTTCCAATTTCAAGGAAAGCAGGTCCAAAATCCCTTTCACCTAACTCTTAGTTGAGATGCCTGTTCAAGAATGGAGAAGGTAAGTGGCCTCTCCAATATACGTGATTCTGGTTCCAATCTTCCAATATCTTGCTATGCCTATACTATTTGTACAGGTTATAGGTTTGTGGAATAGATAGAGATCCCGATCTCTGTATCTCTATCTGTATCTCATCTACATACTCTACATCTAAATCTATTGAGCTTTCTGTGAAACATACCACAAGTTTTTACCCCTTATTTTATTAAAAACTTGCTGAAAACACCGCTTTAATCAAATCGTCATGTCATACCCTCTCATACATTTTTATTTCATAATTTGCCCTCTGTTAACACGTTGTTAGACAATTGAAGGCCTTTCCCCTTTCTGCCACGTCCCTTCAAATGAAGTTTTGCCCACATTTCAGAGTATTTCCTTGAGATAGTGCACAGAAAGGCTAAAAGCTATAAACCAGGCCAAAGGTTATAAACATTTTAACATTCCTAATACTTATCACCAAGTTGCTTCACAGAAAAGCTGGTTGTTCTTTCCTTTTGAACGTAGTCACAAGAGAATAATCTTGGTAGCAAGAGAAAGAAGGCCGTGGAGGGCATTGGAAGCATTAGCGTTCAACAGGCACAAGCAGGTAATAAATATCACTTTATGAAAAGCTCAAAGCCATGCATGGTGTTTGCATGATATGTTGCTAACTGAAGACCTCTCTGGTTCACAAGTTTCAGACCTTTCTGAAACTCAGCGTTTAAATGCAATATAGCTTATTAAATTGTCAGCTCAAGTACTCAGCAGAAGGCATCTCTATCTTCTTTGCTCTTAGGGATGTTTCCACTGACATGCACATTGGAGTTCAGAGATAATTTTCAATAAACTGTTGTCACTTGAAAATAAACAGTCTGGACAATGTATGGTCCATCTGGAACACTGAGAAAATAAACAATCTAGGGTATGCTTCCTTCCTGCCTCTGTAGCCCTTTTTGGAATGCGTGTTCCAAATACTTCCCGTTCTTCCCCAAAGCAGGAGGTTTTATTTAAAATAAAGCTGTTTATTTGGCATTTCTGGGAGACCCTTTTCTGAGGAACCACAGCAATGAATGGCCTTGCATCCTTGCTTCGAAGAAACCAATTTATCTTCCTGGTACTATTTCTTTTGCAAATTCAGAGTCTGGGTCTGGATATCAATAGCCGTCCTACCGCTGAAGTCTGTGCCACACACACAATTTCACCAGGACCCAAAGGTGAGGAAAAGAAACCACGATTTTCATGTATAATAAATATGATCTCTTTCCTCGTCTCTGAACCCCTTCCTAGATTTCAATGACTTTCTCTTCTCTCCTCCCTAGTTTCCTCCCACTTCCCTTCTATTTTGGAAAATCAGGATTTTCCAAATCTGGTCTGTTACTTATTTAAAGCTCTCCCTTGATGTTAGGTAAGAGGATGTTGGGAAGGGGAAACCCAGGACAGAGATCTGAGGGAACTTACCCGGGGCAGGGGGAAATTCCCTGTTCCGTTCTGCTCCGGGATAGATGCACAATCCAAGCATGAGTCTTCAGAAGTCCTTTCCTTCCTTAAAAGGATCTCTATTCTTGAGCTGTTTGTATTCTCCTCCTTTCTAATACTGATGCTGGTGAAGCTGTTTAAGCAAAGGGTCAGTAAAATAAAACTTAAATCTTAAATATATATTTCATGAGTTAATGGGATCCTGAGTTCCAATGTAGAGGATGGAAAAATTCTGTCAAGCATCGTAGGTAGTATATAAATGACCATTTCTTTCTCTGGAAGTGTAGTCTTTGGGGCCAAGTGCCTTATGCTCAAGAATGGTAGAATATTGCAAAATGTTCTCCAGTAGAGCCAAGGTCCAAATATGCTTTAAGCAACTAGTAGATAAAAAAAATCTATTTTTCTGGTTTTAGCTTTTAGCCTTTTGTTCTGAAAGTGGTCACTGCACTGCAGATTGGTGCTCCCTTATTAGTAATTCATGCTGTTTCTCCAGGCTATAGGGTGGAAGAATTGAGGCTGCTTAAAATTTTAAGTAGAAAAAAGTGTTTTTAAAAAAAAAAAAAAATCAGAAATACGTTGCCCCATGCTTGTCAGTTATTTAAATGTGTATTGCTTAAAGTGCATTTTTCTTAATCACTGAATTAATTTTCCTCTAAGATTGCAATCCAAGTTTTAACCTTTGATACGATAAAATAAATGCTGTAAGGAAGAATGAGACCTTAGAGCTTCCAAATAATTTCTTGGGTGAATAAATGAATAATGTGAGGGCAAATGTTCAGAAAGAAAGTTTTGATTAGAAATAAAGTATTTACTTAAAACCTGTACTGAACTTTCCTTAGAGTATAGGAAACTTTAGATTATTCCTGGGGTGTCATGGGAGGCATCAAAAATTAAAGTTTTCCTTGTCCCTGCAAATGGGAGAATCCATTTGAGAATAGTACTATTTTTTACTTAGTAGAAAATTTCTCCCTTCCCATTTTCCCATTAGAAACCCTGTTAAGATTTCAAACAGTGGAAATCTCACTAACTTTCCTCCTGAGCACGTGCAGACATTATGAGATAATTACAAGCCAGACTGTGACAAAATGAAGTGAGTGCTCCTGGAGAGAAGGATTTGGGAAGCGGTGCTCTAGAACCCTGGGTTCTAGAACCAAGTTTGTTTGTTATGTTCTTGGGTTTGATTTCCTCTTCTTCATCTAGAGCTTGGAAACTGCATCAAATGGACTCTAAATTTTATTTTTAATAAAATTTTATTCTTAATAAAATAAATTCTTAATAAAAGTTAATAAATTTTATTCTTAATAAAGACATTCATGATCCTCGAATGTACTGAATACCTACTAAGTTCCAGGCATCATGTTAGCTGCTAGGGGCTGGAAACTAAGATAAGGAACCTGTCTTAGCTCTTGCATCTACATACCAAGCTTTGTATTCTATTACAGACTCTTGAGGTTGGCACCAGTTAATTTATGCTTTTTCTTTGAAAATTTCCTACACACCTAAATGCACCTAAAGCAACATGAGTATATTCATATTCATCGCTGCCTTTCCTCTGCTCTAGGAATTGTGCTAGATGATATGAGTACACCAGAAACAAAGACATGATACCTTCTCTTAAGATAGGAACAGTGGGCCAGGTGTGTTGTCTGTAATCCCAACACTTTGGGAGGTCAAGGCAGGTGGCTCACTTGAGCCCAACAGTTTGAGACCAGCCTGGGTGACATAAGGAGACCCCATCTCTACAAAAAATTTAAATAATTTTTTTTAATTAGCCAGTTGTGGTGGTGCACACCTGTAGTCCCAGTTACTTGGGCGTCTGAGGCAGGAGGATTGCTTGAGTCCAGACAGTTGAGCCTGCATGGGCCATGATCACGCCACTTCACTCCAGCCTGAACAACAGAGTGAGACCCCCATCTCAATATATATATACATATATACACACACACACACATATATACACACACACATATATATACACACACATATATACACATATACATATATGTGTATATATATGTATCTCTCATACACACACACACTGCCATCCACCTTGTTCCTTCATGAATACACAACCCCTCCCTACTCCAAAATAAGGCAGATATGTATATTTACCTCTACAAAATTAAAAAAGAATAGTATGATGGCTAAGCAAATGTTTTAAAGGACTGGGTTATTAATGTTTTTCCAATATTTTTTCCCTAAGATCAAGCTAGTCTTAATACTTTTCTCCATGGCTAATCATCTCATTACTGTATTTACTAGCGCTGCAGCACAGTGCTCAGAAATTTCTAGATACTCTGGGAAACAGATGGTGAAAGGAATTTTCCCTAAATTCATTTGGGAGAGTGAAAACTAAATAATTTATTTAGAATTGCAGAATGCCATTTGTGAAAACCCAGTAATGCTAATCAATCATAGTATATGTTGACCAATATACAGATATTATTTTTAAAGTCTTATTTCGCAGACATGGCTTAGTGGAAAGAAAGACACTGGAGTCAAATCTGACTATCTTCAGCATGTTGTTACATCTGTTACACTTCAGTGTCTTCATTTGCAAAGTGAGCCTTCGTCACAGACCTGTTTTCAGAATTATCATAACCAATGTGAACTTTAAGCTGTGTAGACATCATCAACAGAAATTTTAACAAATTTTATTCTATCTTTCCCTTCTCTCACTATCTAAGTCTGTCAAATAACAGTTTTGAGAATAAGTTATCAAAACATCTCTGTTGCAAGCCATCATTATTTTTCTTTCTATGCCTTAAACTTATTGTTTATGTTACCTAATAGGAAAATGAAATTCATTCTCTCTCTCTCTCTCTCTCTCTCTCTCTCTCTCTCTCTCTCTCTCTCTCTCTCCCCCCCTCCCCCCCCCCCCCGCCCCCTTCCCTCCCCCCCCCCCCCCCCCCCCCCTCTCTCCTCTCCCTCTCTCCCTTTCTCTTTTTCTCCCTCCTCCCCCATCTTGGTGGTTTCTTTAAACAATTTATGTGAAATTCTGACCTCTAGTGGTTTCCCTTGAAAATAACAATGACAAAATATGTACAACTATTAAGTATCCATAAAAAATTAAAAAGAAAAATAAATGAACACAAAGCAAAAGAGAGACAAGTTTTAAACAAAAAATGTTAAAAAATGATTTTAACCAATTAATGTGGATGCTTTACAGTTTTCAAGGAGCTTCAAAATCATTGTCTTGTTTAATTCCCATAATTTCCCTATGTGGTAGCAATTTCTTTAAACTTAGACCTAAGGAAACAATACCCATGGGGCCAAGGGGAGTGCCCAAGGTCTTTCAGCAGGTGGAATCTTGCATCTTGAACTTGACCCTGGGCCTTCTGGCTCCAAGACCAGTGTCATTTCATTATATCCACTAGTTTGTACTAGTTATATATCAGGTTTGAAAATACAGTCCACCAGTCACATTTTGGTGATTAAAAAAATGTCCAGGGCAAAGTCAAAGAACATGGCATCATGAAACCTCACAGCCTGACACTGTCTTGGGTACTAAAATATGCCGAAAACGATGGCATATCTTCTCTTTGATAATCAACTTCATTACTTCATTAATTTGTTTGGAAATAATGTTATTTTACCCTATTGCTTATTTTGATGTGTGCTAGCTTTTTAGTAGGGCCTTTTCAATGACATTTTTTTTGTGTGTGACCTACAAGGTCTTTTTTCCAACTGACTTCTCTCAGCTTCTCTCACATCATTTCAGACTGCTGTTTTCACTTCTGCTTTTCAATGGGCATGCTGGTCTTTGCTCTCCTTCCTGACTCGGGACCTTGGCTCTTGATGGCTCCTCTGCCTGGTCCACCCTTACCCAGATCTTCCCAAGGATAGTTCCTTCTCCTCATGGAGGTCTTAGCTCAAGTGTCATCTGTGCAGCAAGACCCTGCCTACCTACCCCTGTACTCTTTGTCATAGTTCCAAGGTGTTTTATTTTCACAGGCTTAGTACTAAGTGAAAATCTCTTGTGTATCGATGTATGTATAGTCAGTCCTGGCGTGCAGGCTTCCCAAATGGACAAGGATACCAGTCCTTCTTGCTGAGCGTGGTTTTCTAAACCTGGAAGAGCTCCCAACACAGGGTGGGTGCTCAATACATATTTGTGATTAAATGAATCTACCCATATTTTCCGTGAAAGACCCCCAACATTTTAATTTGAGGTCTTGATCTATTAACACAACTCTTTCATAATATCCTCTAAGTATGTCCTGAAGTTCCTAAAATCTGTTGCACCTGCTCCCAAAAACAGACTGGTCCTGGGGATCATGGCCATTGTGCCACTTTCCCAACAACTTAAGAACCTCCCTGCCAGGGGACACTGCCTTTCTCGTAATTACAATAGTGCCTCTGCTTCCCAAGTGCCCCTGTCTCTGCCTAGCCAGTAACACACTGCTGCCTCCTTCACTAAGGCAGCCTTTCCGACACTTCTGAGGACACTGTGATTCTCACGGGTAACCATCATGACTCCTCCACAAGTGTGGCCTGTGATGAAACCACAAGGCAGAGCAAAGCTCTTTCCCTTTCAGCATGACTCTAATCACCACATCCAATGGGGTGGCAGGAGCAAGATTGCTAGCACACATTGAGTAGCTGCCATTCACCCAGCACTGTGCGAGTGCTTTACAACCATGTTTAAATTTAATTACTTCAATGGACTTTGAGCAAAAAGATTTTATTATCTCAGTGAACTTTGAGAAAAAATACTTTATTATCTCAATGGACTTTTGAGAAAAAAAGGCTTTATCACTCCCATTGGACAGATGAAGAAATTGAGGTAAGAATTATTAAGTCCCTAACGTAGGTCCACAGAGCCAGAAGAGGCAAATTAAAACCCAGTTAAGTTCTAGTCGGGTCCTATGTTACAATCAACCTGCTAAACCCACTAGCAAGCCAGAGAGGCCCCTACACAGTGTTGACGGCACCTCAGTGTTTTATGGGGCTAGAGGAAATGGCTACTTCAGTCTCTTTACTTAAACCCCCCTTGGTCCCCATGGAACTCCAGAGCACACACCTGAGTGTCAGACAATACAAGCTCTGCACGGTTGCCGCTGCTCTCTGATGAGAGAGGCTATGCCATGAGTAAAGCCTGACAGTCGTCACCCCTATCCTCGGGGATAATTCCTTTCTCAGAAGACCTCTTAGCTACTGAAAACTAGATTTCTATTTGGCCAAACACTATTTTACTGGACATGGCTCTGGATCTCAGCAATTGACACAACTTGAATAATTTCCCAAGATACTTCTCAGCCCCCAACACAAATAAGACATTCTGTGACTTACCCAAATGAATAGAGAGAAATGCCCAAGAAAGTCCGATCTTTTTCATACTCAAACTGGAAGTCTTACTACCTGTGAGGTCACCCTCAGAGATAATTTGGTTTAACTCCAGTTATTTTTACTTTTGTGAAAACTGAGGCCCGGAGAGGTAAAATAACTTGTTCTAGGTCACACAGCGGCTAATAGGTAGCAGGGCTAGAACTAGAACTCAGATTCCAGATTTTTGGAGCAGGCTTCGTTCCATTCCACCATGTTACATCATTTTCCTCACCTTATATCATTCTCATTAAACATAAAATGATTAGTTGGTTTGATAAACTAACATTAGAAAAGGAGTTCCATGAGATCAATGTATAAACATGACACAGAACTATTCTAGCTCAGTCACCCTGATGCAAGTTGAGTTGCTGATTCTTTTCCGGTAACTATCAGAAAGGGTAAACAACTAGGTGTTTTCCCAAAACTTTTTATTACTTGTATTAATTCACAAGATTCTTTCATTGTGTGTTTTAATATGTATTTTATGCATAAGGACAGAACAATATTTTCAGTGTTGTTTTTTTTTAACTTTTGTATTTCAGTGTATCGATACTTAGATACAATTTTTCATCTCTTTTTTTTTCTTTAGGTAGATACTAAGAAGACATTTCCCATTTAGGTCAGGAAGGGAAGAATAAAATTCCAGTCAATAAAAGTATGGGTAAAGATGAGTCAGGAAGTAGTACTAAACGGTAGTGATAAAAAACAATTTGTTTCGGCCGGGCGCATTGGCTCACGCCTGTAATCCCAGCACTTTGGGAGGC